TGGTGTTGGACGGGCACATGGAGGATCTCCAGGCAAGGGTGAGGATGGCACAGGGTGTGGGGGGCACTGGGCTGGGTGTTGGGTGCTCTATCTAGCTGTGCATCCTTCCCATGCCACCCTGCCTCTTCCCAATCCACTCTGTTCCCCCTTGTCCTATTTAGTCCCCTCCCGTAGCTGTGTCCATCATGCATCTTCCCGTCCCTCCTGTGCCACTCTCTCTCATGTCACCCTGTCCCTCTCATCCCACTATCCTTCCCATGCCCTATCCCTTCCTGACCCTCCCCATCCCTCTCATCCCACTCTATCCCCTCCAGTCCCTCCCCATTCCACCTCATCCCTCTCACCCGACCCTGTCCTTGTCCCACCTTGTCTCCTGCCATCCCGCCCTGTCCCCTCTCTTCCAGCTGGACCCAGGAAGGCGACACGCACCCCTTGCTCACCCCCAGACCCCAGTGCAGCAGCTGACCCCGAGGCAGTTCGTGCAGCCCTGCAGGATTTCCTGCGCCAGCTGCAGGATGCCCAGCGAGATAAGGTACGCCCCTCACCCCCTCCCCAAGGTGTGCATCCCCAAAATACGCCTTTCTCACCCCATTTTCTCCCCCAGGAAGAGCTGCAGGTGCGGGTGTGCAGCCTGAGCAAGCAGCTGGCTGAGGCAGAAGCACAGCGGGACAGAGCACTGCAGCTGCAGAAGAGATTGGCTGAGAGCAAGGAAGGTGATGGGGCAGCTATGGGGTGGGTTTCCCTCAGTGGTGTGGGGTTGGGTGCTGCACAGGAGCATCACTGCCTCCCTGTAGTGTGTGGGGATGTGTGTAGTGTGTGCTCGGGATGTGGGCACGTTGTGGGGCTGTGAGGGTGACAGATTGTGGGGTGAGGTGATGGTGCTGCACTCCAGTGCATAAATCATAATAGAAACATAAAAGAAACCCCATAGGAGCAAATAAACCTCTACACCCCTGGAACCGGTACAACCCCAGTACGAGCAGTCAGCCCCCTCCTTGTGCATGCCCCGTAAACCCCAGTGCATGCCTCAAAAGCACAGAGGTTTGCAAACCCCGCTCTGGCTGTGGCAGGGTGGCGGGGCTCCGAAGGCAAGCAGGCAGCACTGCTGCTGCAGGAGGAGATGCTGCAGCAGGGTGAGGGCGAGCGCCGGCTGCTGCTCGAGAAGGTGTCAGCGCTGGAACGCAGCTTGCACGCTGCTGAGGGCGAGCGCCGGGCTGCCCAGGTGGGCATGGGGGGGAAAAACCCTCCTCTCCCTCCCTGAGCAGCCTTTCTGCTGCCTTGCATACAAGCTGCATGCAAGCTGCATGCAAGATGTGCACAGATTGCAAGCATGTTGCATTAAAGTGCATGAGAGGCGCAAGGAAGGTTGAATGCAAGATGTGCAAAAACTGCATGTATGCTTCTTACAAGCTTACACGTGCAAGCTTCCATGCAAGCTGCTTGCAAGCTTGCATGAAAACCAAGTGTAAGCTTCTGGCAAGCTGCCTACAAGCTGCCTGGAGTCTTGCATACAAAATGCACACAAACTGGATGTAAGCTGCTTGCACGCTGGCACACAAACTGGGCACAAGGCGCTTGCAAACTTGTACACAAACTGCATGAGTGCTGCTTGCATGCGTGTGCAGACTGAAACCTTGCATTCGTGCTGGTTTCACGCCTGAAAACAGCTTGCACGCACTGCTCTGTCTCTTCCAGGAGAAGCTGAGTGCACTGCTGGCAGCCAAGGACCATGCACAGGGCACACCGGGGGCCAACACCAGCACAGCCCTGCAGCAGCGACTGCAGAAGCTGCAGACTGCTTTGGCTGCGGGCGAGCTCGACCGCCGGGCGCTGCAGGTGTGCAGGAGCACCTCGGGGTGCAGTGGGGACCCATGTGGCCTTGTGTCACCATGCACGTCCCCACGCAGGAGATGCTGGATGCCGCACGGGAGGAGCGTGGGGTGCTGCGGGAGCAGCTGCGGGCGCTGCAGGAGGAGCGTGCGGTGCTGGAGCTGCGCAGAGAGGAGCTGGAGGCGCAGGTGCAGCGGCTGCAGGAGGTGGGAGAGCAACAGCAGCTGTCCTGTGACCCACACAGCTCCCCCATGCAGCTCTTTTTACCCTGCCGTGCAGCACCCTGTTGCCCCATGCACTTCCCTATTACCCTGTGCAGTACCCTGCACCCCTTCCAGCACCCAGTTAGCCTGTGCATCACCCTAATGCCCCATGCACCACCCTATTACCCTGTGCAGTACCCTACCACCCCATCCAGCACCCAGTTACCCTATGCATCACCGTTGCCCATGCAGCACCCAGTTACCCTATGCATCACCCTAATGCCCCACGCATCACCCTATTATCCTGTACAGTACCCTACACCCCTCGCAGCACCATTACCCTGCGCATCACCTTACTGCTCCATGCATCACCTTCTTACCCTGCGCAGTACCCTACACCCCTTCTAGCACCCAGTTATCATGTGCGTCACCCTACTGCCCCATATATCACCCTATTACCCTATGCATCACCCTGTTGCCCCATGCATCACCCTCTTACCCTGTGCAATACCCTACCACCCCTTGCAGCACCATTACCCCACGCAGCATCCTATTACCCTATGCATCACCCTATTGCCCCACGCAGCACCCTATTACCCTATGCATCACCCTAGTGCCTACACAGCACGTTCTTGCCCCATGCATCGCCCTATCACCCTGTGCAGCAACCTATAGCCCCGCACCACACCCTATCACCCCGTGCACACCCTATAACTCCATGCAGCACCCTACAGCCTTGCTCCCATTGCAGACACAGCAGCAGCAGGACGAGGAGGAGGCGGCGGTGCTGGGGGGGCTGAGGGCAGAGCAGCGGGGGCTGCAGGAGCGCGTGGGCAGCCTGCAGCGTGCTGTGACCCAGCTGGAGGCTGAGCGGCGTGAGGCTGAGCGCTGCGCCCTGCGCCTCGAAAAGGACAACAGTGCCCTGAAAAGAACCCTGGAGAAGGTGAGCACCCACCGCCCTGCCCTGCACCCTTGGGTGGGCACTGATGTGCAGCCTTAATGCTGGAGCCATAAGACTGCAGTGTCGTTGTTCCACGCGTGACGTAAATGATGCACGCCTCTCTGCCGTGCACAGCGTGTGCAAACAGGTATTTATGTGTGTGCTGTGCACAGAGGAGCAAGGTGTACAACAAAGCACAGCATGCACACGTGAATACGTGTATATATATATACACAGTGCACAGAGCAAGGAGCAAGTGCAACAGAACATGCAGATGCATTTATGCATGTGTATAGAGAGAGAGTGCATTGCAGCAAGGTGTGCTGGCAGAAAACCCCATATTTAAGGGGAAAAACAAGGATTTCTGGGAGAAAACCCCATACATGCACACATGTGTGTATTTTGTGCACGGGAGCAAGGCATGCAACAGCACACATGCATGCATCTACACATATATTGTGCACTGGGGGCAATGCTTGCAACAGTGCACGTGTGCATGCATGTATGTGTGTGTGTTGTGCACCGGAGCAAGGCGCGCAACAGTTTGCATCCTCACACAGGTGGAGAGGGAGAAGCTGAAGACGCACGAAGCCTCGCTGAGGTTGGCTCTGCAGAAGGGCCGCCTGGACCGCTCTCTGGGCACATCAGAGCAGCAGCTGGCAGAGGCACAGCGACGCATTCAAGTGCTGCAGGCGGGTGGCCCCAGGGTGCTGCCTGCACCTTAGGTTGCAGGGTGGTGGAGCTGGGCTGTTTCGGGGCTCATCCCACTGCGTGGAGATGCTGCTGCACGCACGGGGATGCTGCTGGGTTTTTCTTTGGGGTGATCCCTCTGTTCTCCCTCCCCCCTACCCCAGGCACAGGTCTCAGCGCTGGAGCAGAGCTCTGGGGCTGCACAGAAGCCACCAGCACAGCAGTGGGGGGCACAGGAGTCCCGCCGTCACCCCCGCAGCATTTAGGGCTGAGAGCAGCACCGCGCAGCTCACCAAAAATCTGCTCAACGTTCCCAAATCCCACTCGTTTTTCTTGATCAAGAGCAGCACTTTACCCTCTGAGCCACCACTATTTTTGATACTGCTTGGTTTTTTTCCCCCCCTTCTTTTTCTACGGCATTTCTATAACCAATATGTGGAAAGAAGATGTTTTTTAGCCCACGTGGATGTGATGGGAGCACTGGGGCTCCCCAGACTGGTGCTGACCAGGGTAAGCATCCCTACGCCTGGATCCCACATGGCACAGGGAGGGTCCTCTCTTTTCTACTGCTCTTTTTAGAGACTGGTTTGATATCGGTGCTATGGGCCAACCCAATGTGGCCCTATCCCCTCTAAGCCTCCAATAAACATATGGAAAGCCAATCTAGTGACACTTATTGGGGTTGGGGGTGGAGCGTTTGGGAACCAGCTGCTCAAATTGGTGCCCATCAGGCCCCATGGCATTTATTAGCATCATTATTACATGACCTATGTGCTGTTAATATTACACACACTATAGAAGATGACTATATCCCAAGGAAACCACAAGCTAGATTGAATGTAGTAAACCAATCCCCTCCTTTCCATTCAGAGAACCCCCAAACTGCCCTCAATTCAACATCAGAACACTGCATAGACGGAATGCGTGCCATTCCCCATGTGGGAACTGGGGACAGCCACCCCAAACCCCATAGCTGCCCCCTTTCTCATAGGAAAAACCAAAACTGCCCCTGATGATGCTGTGTTATTTCAAGCAGAACGCTCAACTGTGCAAATCCCCAAAGAGCCCACAGACTCCCAGATCCTACAGCCCAGCTCTGCTCTATTCAAGGCACATCACCAATGACCCCAAACCAATGGGAAACCCAAAAAAGAAAGAGACAGGAGCCGCAGCAACCCTTACGCTTTTTCTCTTGGATACTCTACGCAGCAAACAACCCCCCCCCCCGACT